AAATACTAATATTATTATAAAAATATAAATAGACGGGACCATGCAATCATTACAAAATCGCGCTTTGAGCGCTAATCTACAGAAAAATCACACTGGGGGGTAATCTGAGCAAATGCCCTGCCGTGAGGGATAACCTAAAGAAAATCCTGTTGTTGTGGCCGATGAAGAAAATCCTGCTGTGATACCAATCTGAATAAAAAATCTTGTCTTGGGGCCAATCTAAATAAAAGGAAATCCTGCTGTGGGAGCCAATCTAAGATATAAATATGATGTGTGTGTGTTGGGGCGGGGGTATATATAGAAAAATTCTTCACTTTTTGAATATGTGGGGGTGGGGGATTAATGGCGTTATGGGTGAAAATCAGGTTGTCAAAGGTAGCGATATAAATAAGGCTATATTGTTCTACTTTAAACTCATTGTCTGGAATAGCAGGAAAACGTGTTTTAACATTTATGTGCTAGTCAATGTGGTCTGCCTCCAGTCGTTCAAATTATTTCCTTTGATATTTCCTGTCACATTTGCGTGACTACGAAAGAGTGTTCACCCGAAAAGTCGACAGCACGACAGCAAGCCAAAATCATAGGTCGCTGATAACGCCATCAATACTAGACTTTATCATACAGACTATTTTGTTAACGCGAATTGCATGTATTCAGATGTGCCCAGGAATGTAGAGACTACAACGACTTCCAAGGCGAAACTCGAAAAAGTCGACAGTACTACAATAAGCCATCATGATAGGTCGCCAATATTGCATGTGTTTATTTCCTAATTTCTACTTTTCAATTTCCATTATGGCTTGGTATGCGTGTTGGCGTTTCTTACTGACATCAATAAATACAAAAATATAACTAAGTCGACAAGACGGTACACAAACCAAAATGCTATTATCGCAGTGTATTATTTCTTATTTTCGGGTGGATTTTGGCTTGTATAGCGTGCTGTCGCCTCACATTTTGTCGTAAGTTCTACTTTTCGACTTTCCTGTTTTGAAGGGGCGAAAAGTAGAAATTATGAATGGTAGTTATAGGCTTCCATACCTTTGACTGGGTGAACCACAATTATTTGATCCAATTATTATAAAGATATGGATTTGGTGACACCTTCATTGGGAACATTTAAATACTTTATAACAAAATACAAAGCTGTGTCAAAACAAACGGGCATCTATCTCTATTTTGCTCTGTTAATAGATCGGTTCCAAGGGTGTCCGTGAATCTGCCCTTTCATATGTCCTCTCTGTGGAACTTTTAAATAGATTGCTCAAATTAAATACAAGGGTGCTTGGGATTCCATTTCTGGGATCCAAATTTACTTCCTTTATACTTCAACACGCTGATGACACAACGCTGCATGACCACCTTGTCTACAAAAGGGAAAGCTGTTCTTATCAATTCCCTAATTCTATCCACGTTATTAGTATCCCAACCTGGGCTGAAAATCACATTCAAAGCACCCTGTTCCAATTTTTATGGCATGGTAAGACACCCCTAATTAAAAAAAGATCTGTTATGGGGCATTTTAAACAAAGCGGGTAAAATATTCCGAACATAAAATGCAAAAAGGGTGCCTTTACACTGTATTGGATAGGTAAATACCCGGATAAAATTTAGAGTGTACATGGAAAAATTACATAATCCACTTCTTCAAATTGTGTGGGCATTTAAAGGGACCATCCAGATTTTAACAGAATATCAGAAATAAAAGTCTGTATGTATGAAATTTAAGCGCCAAAATGTAGAGCAATGGTGTATTTACCTTGCCTCAAAATTTCAGCTCAAAATAGTGAGGCTTTTGGATATGAACGTCAAAACCACTTATCTGGACATGTAACCCTTTTAAGATTTTGGGTCAATTTTTTCGCTGCCGTTCCTTTAGAGGTCTATACAGTGCATGACTCATGTGCTGTACTTGATAACGAAAGGTAAATTATACCTACACGTTATTTTTATAAAATAAAAGTCTGGTTTTATCCAAACACCTATAATACAGCTTGGTACGCCGGTCTCCATTTCCAGATGAACACTGAGGGGTTTATGTTCTTTGAAAACGTATCACGCATATTGAGTTAGTTGCTCGGCCCTAAGGTAGAAGATTTTAAGGGCTTTTGATATAAAAATTAAGCAGTTTTATACTCCAAAATCTCCATTCAAAATTAAATGAATTGCCTCCCTTTTGTAAAGGCATTTTGTCGGCTTGGGCAAATCTAAGAAGAAAATCTGACAATACTAGTATATGTGTATATGTAGGTGATAACCTAAATACTACAGGGTACCCCCCCCCCCCCCCAAAAAAAATCCCACAAAAGTCGAGCATATGCTGGACTTAATGATGTGTCAGTCTGTGTACGATCATTACCCAAAGTTTCAGTTATCTTGGTTGCTTTGCATAAAAGTCATGTTCTTTCCAAAATATGCCCCAAATGATCTCCACGGCGCTGGAGGCAAACTTGTATATATCGCACAAAATTGTCAATTACTCGAACACATTCCTGCTTGGAAAGTATAATATGTACCAGATAACCCGAAGTTTGCCTCCAGGGCCGCTGAGGCCATTTGGAGCATATTTTGGAAAAAACCTGACTTTTATGCAAAGCGACCAAGATAACTGAACTTTGGGGAATGATCGTACACAGACTCAAGTTTAAGTCCAGCAAGTTTCAAGAAATTTGGTAGGATTTAATAAAAAATTGATGGGATCTGGTGTTTTTTGGGGGCTCGCCCTGTATATTGAACCAATCTTTGTTTTACAATAGTAAAGTCCCTTTTTTAAAAAAAAAAAGAAATCTATTGTATAAAATCAAGAAATTTGGTAGGATTTAATAAAATTTTTATGGGTTCTGTTTTTTGGGAGGGGTCGCCCTGTATATTGAACCAATCTTTGTTTTACAATAGTAAAGTCCCTTTTTAAAATAAAAAGAAAGAAATCTATTGGATAAAATCAAGAAATTTGGTAGGATTTAATAAAAATTTTATGGGTTCTGGGGTTTTTTTTTGAGGGGGGGGGGGCGCCCTGTATATTGAACCAGTCTTTGTTTTACAATAGTAAAATCCCTCTTAAAAAAAAAAAAAAAAAAAAATCCAGTGTGGTATGACAAAGATTTCTGATATATGCTCGCCTTCATATAATATTTTCTATCCGAAGAACAAGTAGGTAATATTGTTGATACATGTCTTGATCGCAATAAAAGGCATAAATTTGTCCTGAATTTTTGGAATATTGTGCAATCTATACCCTATAAATGAACTAATATCATAACTCACCATAAAGGGAACGGACATCTGCTAGAACCACCTAATATTGTATGGAAATAATCGGTATTATTAATCTAAAAGTAAGGTGGCATAATCATTAATGAGAAATAGCTTATATGAAATGCCAACATGCATCACTTACTGGATGGTTTTACTTTTATTGTGAATTGGGATACAATCTGGTCGTCTGTCTTTTTTAATTTGAAAGGCTACGAGTCGATAGATAATGATTATAAAATTATATATAACATTATATGGACTAATGCGAAATTGTATAAAATAGGTAAAATACTGAGTCCTCTGTGTAACCTATGCAAACAAGACCTTGAAGATCTCGCACATTGTCTATTAAAATGCCATACTAATTGTAGTCCTTTACTAACCTTTCTGAACAATAATCTTACCTATTACTTAAAGATACATTCCCGCGTACAAACTGGGTGATTTGATGATATATTTGGACTAAAAACATATTCAAACTAATTAATTTATCATAATTTTGCTTCAACTCCTTCTCAAAACATTGTAATTGCCAAGGAATACCCTGCTATAAAAATCGGTCAAAAGAAGTCATGTTTGTGTCACGTGACTTACATCTCTCGGTACCTATAGCAACGGGGGTGAAGTCGGAGGAGAATTCATTGCATATACAAATATCGAATGCTAATTAAATACGGATTATCCACTGCCCACGTCTTTTTCCGTGATTTTTACCTCAGAAAGTGTTGTATGTCTAACTCTTCATAAAAATCATCAACATGTACACCAAGCGCTCAATCTTCGCGTGCAACCTTCGCGTGCAGGTATTCCTAATCGTCGGGCTGTCGATTAGGGGAACCCTTACTTTTTTGTCCTGTATACGCTCCATGAGTGTTTTTCAGGGAATCCAGTATTTTTCTAGTAAGATTAGATATCTCTACTTTCCATACACATGTATACCAAAATTGCCATACTTTTATTGGAAATAACCACCCGATAAATACCTTTCTGGGAACCTATCTTTAAAAGATACCGGCTACAGTACTAATGAATTCGAAACCAGGATGATTTTTGACTTCCCTAGATCAAAAGGAAAACAAAATAACACTTCCTTGATTTTAATGTTCTCTGTAGCAAGACTGCCTATAATGAAAAGCAGACAACTTCTCAATAGCCAATCATATAATGCTGATATTTGCCTGTTGTTTAGTAAAATCATGAAAGACCACCTTAAAATAATTTATCATAATTGTCTTAAAATACAAGAAAGGCATAAGTTTATTAATACCTTTAAGACGAACCCCTTTGTTAGTGTCCATAATTCAATCCCCTCATTTAAGTTTTTATAAATATTGCTTATTATAATCATTTGTATCATACGCAATATTTATATATATATAATCTAAACTGTGATATTTTGATTGATTTTTATTTTTTTTATGTAATTTTTAGTACTGTTTATTTGAATAAAGATTCTAAAGAAAAAAAAAATAGCAAGCCATACAACAAATTACCCCTCAGTAAAGTTATTGTGTATACCCGTAGAACATTGATTACTTAACTAGTAACTCAACATAATTTAAAAAGTTGTTACTTCAATAATTCAGTAGTTTAAGGCTTTGATAGTGGCTGTTTGTTTTGGAGTGATCTGGATTAGGGTATGAGACTATTAAACACCAAATTAAATATTTATATTCAACCAAATGGTACAAATTGACACTTAGTAAAGGAATTATACATATTACCTATACTTTTTATATTAACAGGTATAATAGGTGATTGGAAAAATGAATTAACCACTGACCAGATTGAAAGCATTGATAAAATGGTGGATACTAAACTAGGAAATTCATCTTTGGTTTTTGAAGACAAATGATATAGGTGTTTATAATTTCTAATCTTTAATGAGATACATTTAGTTTGAATTATTAAATAAATTTTTTAATGATTGTTGTTTTATTACATTTAGAACATGAATCTCTGATATAAAAGGATTGTATGAGCTAAAAATATATGGGTCGTTCCATGTCAAGTGGGTCAATTTTCAGAAATTTGGGAAATCAACCTCCTCGAAAAAATCTGGAAAAAATATATGCTAGCAGCAAAAGATACGTCAGGTTGGTATGTTACTCTGAATAGATGTATTGCATAAAACTTGCCAAATGTTTTTATTGTATATTTGTGACCACATCTTCAACTTTACCTGAGCAATAAGGCTCCTTCCCAAACCCAAACACAGAATTGAACCCAGAAAATGTTCTCAAAAACGTAACCTGACTTCTGAGATGGTAATGTGTTCTCCGTGATTTTCATGTAACTCATGCTGCATGTGATGTTCACTGGGTCCAGCCCTATAAAATGCACCCCATACCTGGTTCCAGCCCTATAAAATGCACCCCATACCTGGTTGAATCATTTACACTACAACGTCTGAAGCATGCCATGACTCACAACAGCTCAGAGGAACCAGGCTCTTGGAAGACTCGACGCTGGCAACACGACCCAAGCCATTGCCAATCATTTCCAGGTCAATGTTCGGACCATCTACAGGCTTCAGCAATGCTTTCGGGCCACCAACACCACGGATGATCGCTCCCGAACTGGTAGACCAAGGGTTACCACAAGGCGACAAGACCGCCATGTTGTGCGACAGCACGCGCAGAATCCTTTCACACAGGCATTTGAGACAGCACGTCAGAGAGTGGGAACACACGAAAGACCCATCAGTACCGATACAGTGCGCCGACGTCTCACCAGAGAGAACATCCATTGCCGTAGACCTTACCTTGGACCGATCCTCACCCCTCGTCATCGACGTGAACGCCTACAGTTTGCCCAACAGCACCAGAACTGGCGACACAGGCAATGGAGAACTGTTCTGTTCACTGATGAGTCGGTATTGCGTATCAACTGCAGATGATAGGACCAGAATATGGCGTTGACGTGGCCAGAGTTATTCTGACCGATGTGTCATGGAACGAGACTCATGGGCAGGTCCAAGCATAATGGTTTGGGATGGAATCGGCCTGAACCAGAGAGTGGGTCCTGTGGTGTTCCAAAATCTTGGACCAGGGAGAGGTGGTGGCATCACAGCAGTGCGCTACATCGATCAAGCTCTCAGACCCCACGTCATACCACATTTCGCACGTCATCGAAACGGCGTTTTCCAGCATGACAACGCCCGTGCCCACACCGCCAGAGTTACTCGGGACTTCCTACAGTAGAACGTTGTCAACGTTATGCACTGGCCAACCCTTAGTCCAGACTTAAACCCGATTGAACATATTTGGGATGAAATTCAGAGGAGACTTAATAATGTCGTACCGAGACCAAACACAGCCGATGGAGTGGACCGTATCTAGGGAACTGTTTGTCGGATCACGCTAAAATTAGGAATACCAACTTTTTCAGTCATAATATACATATAAACCAAATTTCAGCAAAATCGAAGTGATACGGTTTAACAAGAATGGTTTTAACATATGCCCGTGCCCACACCGCCAGAGTTACTCGGGACTTCCTACAGTAGAACGTTGTCAACGTTATGCACTGGCCAACCCTTAGTCCAGACTTAAACCCGATTGAACATATTTGGGATGAAATTCAGAGGAGACTTAATAATGTCGTACCGAGACCAAACACAGCCGATGGAGTGGACCGTATCTAGGGAACTGTTTGTCGGATCACGCTAAAATTAGGAATACCAACTTTTTCAGTCATAATATACATATAAACCAAATTTCAGCAAAATCGAAGTGATACGGTTTAACAAGAATGGTTTTAACATATGTTAGAGACATTAGTACAAACTATAATTCCACCAAGTTTCAGATTTTTAGCTGCTCATCTACCGAATTCAATCGGCTCGAAAATATGATAATTGACACAGATTTGAAAAAATCAGAAAAATATCTAGACGGCATGGGACAAGAATGGCTTTAAGATACGTTGGAGACATTAGTACAAACTATAATCACACAAAGTTTCAGAATTGTAGGCGCTCATCTAACGGGTTCTATTTGCTCGAAAATACGGGTGGACCGTATCTTTGGAATCGTTAGTCGGATCAAGCTAACATTTGGAATATCAGCGTTTTCAGCCCTAATAAGCATATAAACCATATTTTAGCAAACTCGAAGTGGGTAGCCTACTGTTTAATTCATTGGGTGATAATTGACATAGATTGACCCAAAACACAGATTTTAAAAAAATCGAAAAAATATCTAGACGGCATGGGACAAGAATGGCTTTAATATACGTTGGAGATATTAGTACAAACTATAATCACACAAAGTTTCAGAAGTTTAGGTGCTCATCTAACGGGCCTGACTAATCACCAGAATTCACCGGAATTCATTTACAATCACCGGAATTCGCATATAATCACCGGAATTCTCTTCGAAAACCCCCGATTCCTCCCACAAAACTAATTTATTTTAAAGTGCACATAAGATGGGGGGAAAATCTTTTTAATGCGTGTAGCCAGTGGTTACTATATTCTCTTTACGGAAAGTTCACGCCAAGCTGGTTGAAATTAATTCAGCTATCTTCACTCAAAATAGACTTCCCGTAAAAACGACTTTGCCAATTATCGAAAACACTCTTAATCCCCTCAGATGCCAGTGACGTCACAGCGACCGAATGCATATTCGGAATGTTTATACCTTAATTACCTTTATACAACCGGCGTGTCTATTCTTTAATGCCTGAAGGATTCCTTAATCCCCCTAATTTAATTTTAAAAAATTGACTGCGGAATAATTTGTTTTGTAATTCATTTTAATTTAAGATCCAATTTAGAGTGCCTACAACTTTTAAACTTTGAACTCTTAATTAAATTTTTACAAAATGGAATTTATTGGACGAAAACTTTTAATATGTAAATAATATACGGCATGGGACAAGAATGGCTTTAATATACGTTGGAGATATTAGTACAAACTATAATCACACAAAGTTTCAGAAGTTTAGGTGCTCATCTAACGGGCCTGACTAATCACCAGAATTCACCGGAATTCATTTACAATCACCGGAATTCGCATATAATCACCGGAATTCACTTCGAAAACCCCCGATTCCTCCCACAAAACTAATTTATTTTAAAGTGCACATAAGATGGGGGGAAAATCTTTTTAATGCGTGTAGCCAGTGGTTACTATATTCTCTTTACGGAAAGTTCACGCCAAGCTGGTGGAAATTAATTCAGCTATCTTCACTCAAAGTCGTAAAAATAGACTTCCCGTAAAAACGACTTTGCCAATTATCGAAAACACTCTTAATCCCCTCAGATGCCAGTGACGTCACAGCGACCGAATGCATATTCGGAATGTTTATACCTTAATTACCTTTATACAACCGGCGTGTGTATTCTTTAATGCCTGAAGGATTCCTTAATCCCCCTAATTTAATTTTAAAAAATTGACTGCGGAATAATTTGTTTTGTAATTCATTTTAATTTAAGATCCAATTTAGAGTGCCTACAACTTTTAAACTTTGAACTCTTAATTAAATTTTTACAAAATGGAATTTATTGGACGAAAACTTTTAATATGTAAATAATATACAGGTCCAGCTATGTTGTTTTTACTGCGAGCACTTCGCTTTTCCACATAAAGTGTAGTGTCGTTAATATCTGTCTTTAATTAATCTATCCGACTATAAAAGTTATACAGACATGGGTCATAAATTAATTTACACGTTGGTGTTAGCAGAGGATGTTTGTGGGATTAAGAATGTTGATTAGGTAATTATCTTTTTTTTTACACCGGCCAGATCAAAGACATCACTCTAAGTGGAACGTGTGCGTAATACCTCACGAACGAATTAATGGTAGAATCGTACACACACATATTAATTGAATAAAATAATTAAGTTTTACTCATCAGTTGTTTATAATTATTATTTACCCAATAATTATTGCTCACCGGTATTTTTGTAATGAAGTAGCCTCGTATTATTTGTTGATTGGCGTTTAAACATCATTTAATTGATGGATGAATAAACGTTTGATATGATTATGTTATAATGTCTAACATCGTTTATCTTTATAATAAAAGTATTTTACAATTGCATTGACAGTTTAATCACTCACCAAACGGCACCAGGAACTCAACGTATGATCCCGTGCAATTTTCGCGCCGAAGTTTAACCTCATTTACTACACCCGTAGTACATGGAACGGTAAATGGAAATACGATTCCCAGCGTTGATTGGCAGAGAAATCAGTGCGATCTATTGTACATGTTATGCATAGTCATCGGAAAATTCCATATTCACTGTAAATTTCAAATGGAGTTACGATAAAAGCTGTTCTTTATGTATAGAAATGGTTATTATTATTATATATAGCTAATAATGAATATATCAACAAATGACTGACACCATTTGTATTTCTGTACTTAAGTTTGGGATATCAAGTATTACGGGGTTATCCAAATTACCGGTAAATGCGCTAATTTCTTGAGTCATCTTCATTTGACATGTGGCCTATTTAAACAAAGGCAGCTTAAATTGATCTACGGCATGATACGGCATTTTAAATTCACTCTAAAATATTCCAATCACAAATGTCTAATCTATACCAATCAAAGATGATAATTCGGTGATTATGATTAGGCCAGTCACGTGGTAACTGGACGGTCAATCGACGCTTGTCAACTTGCCGTGTGTATTGATAGTGCTATATTGTACAGACAGTGAGATATTGTATAGATAATGTATATCCTATGTGTAGTGCCTGTGACGTCACCAGCCAATCAACTGGATTAAGGTAGTAATTGAAAAATCGAAAAGCGTTTTGGCTTGTTGGACACTTAAACGTTAACAGCCGACTTAATTTTAATCAGATTGGTGTGAACTTGCCGTAAAGTTGATATAGTAACCATGGGCTATACCTACATGAAATTTAGATTTTTGATCTTAAGTGGTCTTTAAATGTATAATACATTATAATGTAACGAATTACTATTTTGATATCTCCACAGGAATCGGGGATTTTAGAAGTGAATTCTGGTGATTATATGTGAATTCCGGTGATTGTAAGTGAATTCAGGTGATTAGTCTACCCGCATCTAACGGGTTCTATTGGCTCGAAAATACGAGACAATTTTCGAAAATTTGTGTCTAAAACCCTATTCGAGGCCAATTTTTTGGGAATCTAGTGTAGACTGGTGCGTTCTCATACGTTTCTTATGTAGTACCACCGGCAATCTCTGGAAAGGCCAAAATATGGGTCTATATCTATTACCCTCTAGCCCCTACAGCACTACAAAATCCAAAAGATATAAAATTACACCAAATTATTTTCGGTTTTCATGGCCAAGTAGCATGCAAACCCTACCAGTCATCGGTCATCTGATTGCAGATTCGTAATCTACACACAAAGTTCTCTAACGCTACCAAATTTGGACTGTATATCTTGACTAGAAAGGTAAAAACAGGATATCTGAAACTCGAGTAAATTATTGATACATATTTTGTTTCGAAAACTTATCGGTAACTCATGAAACTCAAATGCCCGTATCTCAATCAATTTTTAAGCTAGGCTACAGACCACAAGTTTTGTACAGTTTCTAGTTTTTCAAAATTTTTGCATGTACAATAATATATATATTTTTCCAGATTTTTTCGAGCGGGTTGATTTCCCACCCCAGGCCCACTTGACATGGGATGACCCATATTTAGGTTATTGTTGTGGTTATTTCAAACGACCTATTACACCAGTAACAAACAATAATATGTTAAACATACCTTATTATGCAAGAGCTAAATCTGATTATTGCAAATCTTTATTTAGGCTTCAGATGTCATAGAAATTATAAATTAGATCTTTATTTACACAACAAGCACAAAATCAACTCTGTAGACCCACGGATGGCTTGGATTCAGCTTGGATTTAAACGGGATTTCATTGACTGATTTAATTTTAAATGGCATCGTGAGTGGAGATTAACCGTTACGTTGACGTCATACTCCCGGATCGAGGCTAAATGATAGAGTGTACGAAGCGAGGCCGCTGTTGAGCGATGCCTTAAGAAATGACATCTAAACTGTTTAAAGTGCAATAAACTAAACACAGATAATGACAAATTATACAATTCCTGGAGACCGTGTGATGACTAATACAGACGGACAGGTCTTCTGTCTTAATAATATCAATAAAAATATTTTTATTTCCCCACTACTGCAATAGGCACAACACCACTGGTGTAGCCTATACCTATAGATTTATCATAATTGTATTATAACATTATGTCCTATATTCAATTGACTTAAAAAGTAAGAATGAAAATTTACCCTCTCACTCATTTTGTCCAATTGTTATAAAAATCCAAAAAGGTAAAACACAAATTCGGATATGATGACAGCAGACAAAAGACAGCAGGGATTATGTAGGTGGAGTTAACGCCTGTCAATCAAACGATCGGCCATGCTAAGAATCGGTGAAGATGTAATTCAATCCCATTTCTAGTCAAAAATTACACTGGTGATAACTATGTTCAGAATAAAGTAATTTGACTGAAATTTTCAATATATTCTTCTTTCATCATCTATTTTTGAAATGTTATAGCAAGAATGGCTAACTCCTTATAAAAATCTCCCATAATGTATCTTTAAATGATGATGACTCTTTTCTTTTATCAGCAGAGAGACATTGTTCACAAAATTAAGGAGATTTTGAAAATAAAAGACTTGAATATTTGCGGAAATGAAAACAATTATCTTCCATTTAAAGATTGCCATATAATTGTATCACAATATATTGTTTAAGCAAAATGTTGGCTATATATTGATTCAAGGGTATATTTCTACAGCCCTATAATGGATACACTTTTCAGTTGATATGACATAAAAATATATTTTAATGTACTTTATTATTTTACAAATCAATATAATATGACAGACAGTAGGAAAAGGCAGCTTGAATTTCTTATTGTATACAGGTGTAGTATAATATTACATTTACTGTTGTTTTACTTTTATTTATATATCTTCCTTATCTCTATTATCTATATCTAAACACAGTTTTAAATAAATATTTAATGGTATTGTTTTCCTCGACAATAGACTATTGTCTATTGATTAAGTAACATAGATTAACATAAAAATGTTTAACAATACAAATGGATCAAATTCAATATTCACAAAGATACGGCTGGATCCCAGGAAGGGATGGGAGCATCAAGTGTCCCTTCTTAATTCACAAATTTGTATTATGTTTGACTTATTAAAGAAAGTATAGTGATATAACAATACTTAGTATAATAAATGTGCAATATGTCAATGATTTATGAGCAGCATTTGTTGGGCAGCGTTTTTCAGTATTCTCAGTTTCAAACTCTATTCTACCATCAAGACCTTGTATAATAGGGGAAAACTTCTCTAAGTATTTGTTAAATACAGTAGCATCCAAATCACCTGAAATGAAATGAACTTAGTTCAATTGGATCATCTTCATAATATGGTCCATGTCAGTATGAAAGTAAAATGAAATGGGTTTAACGTCCTACCATTCTGCACCGACTGGGACAATGAATACTGGTGTAGGCCTTACAGTGTGCTATGATGAAAATTTTGTTGGACAGCAGCACTACGGCCTACTTTTTTCGAATTCCAACTGTCAAGGGAACTTTTACGTACATGTTAGTGTGTACACAGGACCTCGGTTTTTATTCCATCCGAATGACTAGACACTGCCCTTACCAGGCTCTGCGTCCTGCACCGACTGACAAGAGGAAACCCTACTGCAAAAATCTGGGGAACTTTTTCAACCAACAGTCCATCAATCAGGGACCGCTTTTTATATGCCCACATTTTCATGTGTAGTATATTGTCGTCGCCCCTGTCCATCCGTCCGTTCACAATTGTTTGTGAACACTCTAGAGGTCACAATTTTTATCCGATTTCAACAAAACTTGAAATATAGGTTTATCACCCTAAGATCTTGGTTCCGTTCGATATTGGCATGTATCGGACTGTAACTTCATGGATTATGGCCCTTGATTGTACGAAAAATCACGTTTTTAGCTTGTGAACACTGTAGAGGTCACAATTTTTATCCGATTTGGTTTAACTTGAAATATATGTTTATAAGCCACAGATCTCAATTCCTTTCGATATTCGTGCATATCGGACCATAACTTCCTGAATTATTGTCCCTGATTGTACGAAAAATCGCGTTTTTAGCTTGTGAACGCTATAGAGGTCAAAATTTTTATCCGATTTGAAAAAAACATTTGAATATATCACCATCACACCCTAAGTTAGAATTTCGTAAAAATCGAACCAAAACTGACAGACAAAATGGCCGTGCCTCGTAGTCAAATAGCGCGTAAAAATATGGTATATCAATGTTGTTAACCCTCTAGAGGTCACAACTTTCTTTTGATTTTGATGAAACTTGAAATGTAAGTTTATAACCCAAAGATCTTGGTTCCTTTCGATATTCGCGCTTATCAGATAGTAACTTCCTGAATTATGGCCCCTGATTGTATGAAAAATCGCGTTTTTAGCTTGAGGTCCCTCTAGAGGTCACAACTTTTACCTGATTTAAAAAAAATGTGTGAATATATCACCATTACACACTAAGATCTTGGATCCCTTTGATAATCGCAGATACCCGAACTTAACTTCCTGGATTACGGCCCCTGATTGTTCGAAAAATGGCAATTTTAGCTTGCGGATTCTCTAGAGGTCACATTTTTTTTTCCGATTTTAAAAACCGTTTAAAGGAGCTAAATCGCTAATTACAAATAGACATAAATGGGTCACAACGTATATAATAATGTAATATGAATGTAAATAAACTGATTTACATTCAATCGTTTCCGTTTTTACTCTAATTTCAAAGCAATTATGTTCGGCGAAATACGCCAGAAGTCTCAACCGAATGGCAATCTATAGCGTCTGGTTATTCCAGTCTACCCGGATAGTATTTATTGCGCATGCTCCCCAGATAAGAATATGGGGTCACCGTTTGACATGACTTGTGGAATATGTCTAACCTCGTTCTTCGAGTCGCTTGTTACAAATTGCGCTGTATCAATCGTAAAATGTTTATTTTGTCCTAAATATTGGATATCAGAAGCCTATCTTTTCCCAGTAAGATCACAACACTAATGTTGATTAAAATTGACAAATAATTTGTGTTTTCATTGTCAAAGGTTTTAGATGATATTGAGTTAGAGACTTAGCTACTTTAAATATTTCACCATTCCACCATAATGAAGGTTGAATTCGAATCAAAATGAAACTGCCCAACAAAATGGCCGCTCTTTGTACACAAATTTTGTAAAACTGCAATACGAAGGTTGTTGACCTTCTAGAGGTCACAATTTTTATCCGATTCTGATGAAACTTAAAATATATCGTTATATCCCAAAGATCTCAGTCCCTTTTGATATTTGCGCATCTGGATTATTACCCCTGATTGTACAAAAAATCCTGTTTGTTTTTAGCTTGTTCTCTATCCATCTCTTGCAAAATGCGGGCGTATCCTGCCTGGCAGCCGCTGGTTTAGTGAGCCATTGCAGGCCCCGACCATAAAATGAGAAACGTCCATTATATATGTTCTAGCTGCAGGGCCTATTTTAAGGTTTTATTGCCGAAGCACGGTGTCCGGAGGTGTTTTTTTTTTGTTTTTTGTTTTTTTTAAATGGGTATTTCCCCCTTGGATTCCGACAAAATTTCCAAAACGTGACTCACGATTTCCCACACAGGCTCAATTTAGCTTCTTCCATCACCTTTATCAGCTCTATTATGTCAGAATAAACCTGCTGAAATTGTGACCAATTAGTCGTGACCAAAACAAAGGCCCACAAAGTGGAATAAAATCTTCCTGAATTATCAATACACTTACACTTTTACATTTACAACCAAACAAGCGATTGCCATATACGATACCTCGAGATGAACAAGGAACTGTGAAAAACGATAGAGCTCACCCTCTCATTGTACCCATGCCTTACATCGAATATGGACCTGTAGCCTATATCGCGTTCACATGGTTTTTGCAAAAGTTTGGTAACTCTAGAACGGAACGTCATGAACGCTGAATATCGATGGGGTTTGTCGTCTCGTGACCCCAATTTTGCACAAAAAAAACACGGTTAAAACGATAGCCTCCATCGCTTCCACAAGATTATTGAGGGTGCTTAACTCCAGAACTGAAGGTCGGGGAATGCTGATTATCGATAGGATTCGTGCTCCCATATTCCCAATTCATCACACTAGAAAGCTCACAACCTTTGTTACGCTTTGTGTATGCAAGGCCATAACCCAAGCAGTTGCACCAAAATCGAATTACAACCAAGATCTTTTGATCCTCAACATCTAAAACGGGTAAAATAGAGGCACAAATTAATGTGAAGCTGTGGCTGTATAAAAATTTACATATTTTACAGATTTGAATTTATAGCTGCGTAGCCTATCGGTATCATTGGCAGTCCAAAAGCAGATGAACCGTTACTGTAATCTGCAGCTGACTACTTACGTCATCAACAGCTTTATTTTTAGTCATTTTCATACAAAACACGAAATTTAAACGAAATCAAACGCAGTGACTGACTGACTGATGATAACAATGATTGCAAATTGACACATGCTTTAAATATCTTCATGCAATCTTTTCAGATTCACAGGAATACATACCATCTTTTCAAAGCACGAATTTATGATTCTCGAAGCACGTCCGTGCCTAGGTAACAAACCTCATCTCTCAACCCTCCGTGTTTCCAGATAAGAGTTGGCCCTATTAACTCCAACGTAGCAAATGCGGGAGCGATTCGCATCCGGCATTAGTAAACAAAATTGACAAAATTTTTCATCAAAACAACGATTGATTATTGTTATTTATAATATTTCTGCCACACCCAACTACAATTAAGCATATAATCCTACCTGACACGGGTACAAATCCCCTCTTTTTAAATCAAGACGACACTAGATTGATTTTTCCGACATTTTAAATTTTCGTCTGTAACACATAAAGGCGGGGCCTCATGTGCAATAGCCAATCAAAGTACTAATCTGACCAGAGTTGCGCAGTAGTAATATGCCGTAATTATGAACATCCGAATCAATTTTGATTTACTTTATTGTCAATATTTGCTGATAAATGAATGTTGTTTCAGTAGATTGGACTGCCTACGTGTAATAAGTACTAATAGTATAAAATTAACTTATTTTTAAGATGGTGCATGCATTAATAAAGAAATTGAGTTTGGCACTTGGAACTAAAGGCATCCAATCGTAGCTAAAAACAAGTACATCAGTATATCTCAGCGTTTTTAGTTACGTTCTCGTAGCTAGTTCGTGCCTATATGTACGTTAAAATTGGTCCTGTCTAGCTGTAGGTACCAGTAAACATATGCTCAGTGAAACACCCCCAGAATGGATAAAGAGTGATAACATGTAGGAGAACACATCCGAAATATTCAAGTGGAATAATTGAAAATTGTATCTACCCTTTTCAATGTGATTCATTTTATTTTTTACAATTACGTCGTAAGCATCGCCGCCATTTGCCACAAAAGCCGGAATAAGTATGCTGTAGACTTTGTCTTCATTAAGATCTTCAAATTCTGGAACGTCACATTCTATGCACTGGACTTTAACACTAATAACACGTTGTCCTACAGGTTTATATACATTATATTTTACTCTTAGACCTGAAATATTAATACAAACTAGCTCAATCAGCTTCAATACCAATATATAGCCACTCCCCCAGAATTTCATACTTGATTGACTGGGCAGCGCTATGAAACCAAACAACCTCATTTGAAAAAAAGTCTGAATAAGACCATATTAAAATTTGGTTGAAATCCATCGATTTCAATATATTATGCACCAAAATATTTTTAATAACCATTTATCAAACGACGTATGTTCCAATAATGTGATTTTTTGTACAATCAGGTGCCATAATGCAGGAAGATATGGTCCGATATGCGCGAATATCGAAAGGAACATCGGATAAAAATTGTGACCTCTAGAGGGTCCACAACCTTCGTATTACATACTTTTACACAATGTGCGTATAAAGAGCGGCCATTTTGTTGGGCAGTTTCATTTCATTTTTCCCGAAATTCGAATTCAACCTTCATTATGGTGGAATGGTGATATATACTCTTCAAAAAAAGTAGGGGATAATCAGAAACAATACAAAACTGCGGAAATGCACTGCTGTTTTTATTACAGGTAACCAGTGTATGTTAATAACATGCCAATTGCCTACACATGAACATAAACAGTTCATATGGGCGACTTATCTGACGGCCCTATTTCACTCGCAAAGAGATACACTGTCAAAAGTGAAAATGGACATTTTTGATTTTTGTCTTAATAATGAGTAATTGCTCCACAATTCCTCAGATATTCAGCAATTCGTTGTGGCATGCTCCTAATCAACCGTCCAATCACGATTTGGGGCAATCTGACCCACTCCTCTTGTAGTGCCACGGCCAATTCTTGCAGTGTTGTCGGTTGACGTTGACTTCGACGAACACGTCTCCTGATCAACTTAAACGTAACACACTAAAGCAATGATACGCTAAACAGTAAATCTTATGCAAGAACCGATAGGTAAGCAAACATGGATAGGATAAACCAACAAACGTCAGTTTTCATCAACCCTTCCTTGAAGTGTCAAATTTGACAATGAACTCCTCCCACGTGTATGGCGCTATTGCGTGTCGAACATGCAGCTCAGTGGTTCTGTTGGGGCGATAAGTTCTTCATCTGTGAACATACTCTCAAAGCATGTCAAGTGTCCATGACTATTTATCATATCCCCAACTTTTTTTGAAGATAATATTTAAATGGTTTTTAAAATCGGAAAAAAATTGTGACCTATAGAGAATCCGCAAGCTAAAAATGCGATTTTTCGAACAATCAGGGGCCATAATCCAGGAAGTTACGTTCAGATATGCGCGATTATCAAAAGGAACCAAGATCTTAGTGTGTAACGGTGATATATTCATACGTTTTTTTTTAAATTGGATAAAAATTGTGACCTCTAAATTTTGTACAATCAAGGGCCATAATTCAGGAAGTTATGATCCGATATGCGCAAATATCTGTGGGTTATAAACATGTATTTCAAGTTTCATCAAAATCGGATCAAAATTGTGTCCTCTAGAGGGTCCACAGGGGTGGCCATTTTGTCCGGCAGTTTTGGTCCGATTTTCACGAAATTCGAACTTTACCAACATTACGGTGTAACAGCGATTTTTGTAAATCAGATAATAATTGTAACTTCTAGGGGAACCACAAGCTAAACACACGATTTTTGTGACATCTAGAGGGACCACAAGCTAAAAATCTGATTTTTCGTACAATCAGGGGCCATAATTCAGGAAGCGGCTATTTTGTCCGTCAGTTTTGGTCAGATTTTTGTACATGATTTTTCGTACAATCAGGGGCCATAATTCAGGAAGTTACAGTCCGATATGCGCGTGAATATCGAAAGGAACCAAGATCTTTGGGTTATAAACTTTGGGCCCTAATCCATGAAGTTACGGTCCGATACATGCCAATATCGAACGGAACCGAGATCTGACCTGTAGAGTGTCCACAAACAATTGTGGACGGATGTCCGGAAGTCCAGACGGACAGGGGCGACGACAATATACGTCTACATGAAAATGTGGGCGTATGAAAACGTGATTTTTCGTACAATCAGGGGCAATAATTCAGGAAGTTACGGCCTGATATGAGGGAATATCGAAAGAAACCAAGATCTTTGGGCTATTAACTAACATTTCAAATTTCAACAAAATCAGATATAAATTGCGACCTCTATTGGGTCCACAAGCTAAAAACCTGATTTTTCGTACAATCAGGGGCCATAATCCATGAAGCTACGGTCCGATACATGCCAATACCGAAAGGAACCGAGATCTTGGGGAGATAAACCTATTTTCAAGTTTCGTTGAAATTGGATAAAAATTGTGACCTGTAGAGTGTTCACAAACAATTGTGGACAGACGGACGTCCGGGCGGATAGGGGCGACGACAATATACGTCCACATGAAAATGTGGGCGTATAAAAATAACCCTAATAAAGCACATCCTTCCAAATTTGGTCAAACTAGCGGCCAAGCATATGTCATAAGCCTTATAATTTTGAAGGAAACAAATGATGAGTGTACCATTGTTGCCTGTGTAGTACTATCGGACTTCTTTTATTGTTGTGTTTGTTTCTTCGTGATCGTAACAAGACTACAACTTTATTGCCAAGTTGTAATGGCTTTGAAGGTTTCCCAATAATAATGGCTGCTAGGAATTTCTGAATGAGCTCTGATCCAACTTGCTCTACACCCTAATTTATACCCCCTAATTTCTGCAGGTCTTCGATAACCTTGACGTTAATTTCCATCCCATATATGGAATAAACCTCTTTATTTCACACGACTAAGGAGGAGACATTACCTTATTTGGTCTACCAACCATAGGTCAATAAACAGCCAGAATTTGATGGATATCTTGTCAATGGTTATGATTTTACCAAAATATCACTGCTTTTTATATATAACTATATATTCATGTTCATTAAGTACATGTGATTTGGCTTTATAGACAGAGTGAAGCAACAATTTTGCAAAGAACCAAAATTGTCTCAAGGACCAAAGTGTTACACCTGTTAGGATTTTAAGCTATGTTAAAATCAATCTAATTGACAAAACATGTATGCTACCACTCTTAAAGGAAGTTTGCACAATATTTTATTACTTACCCGAGAACTGAAGAAATCGCCCCGCTAAATCAGGTCCATATAGTGACACACTATGTTCTAAAGTAGCTTTAAGATGGACACCTTTCATATCTAGTCGATCAATCGTGTTTCTAAAGGGCATAACAGTCAAAACTTGTTCAATTGTGATGTCTCCTGCAAAAACAAAACCCCAAACCAATTAACATTATATTGTTAGGCTGTCCAGATAAGCACCAAAGGCTTTCCTATTATGATGTATTAGGATACACTTACATTTTGATCCAATTTTGATGAAACTTGAAAGGCATGTTTATAACCCAAAGATCTTGTTTGCTTTCGATATTTGCGCCCCTGATTGTACGAAAGATCATGCTTTTAGCTTTTGGTCCCTTTAGAGGTCACAATTATTATCTGATTTACAAAAACAATCGAATATATCACCGTCACACCGTAATGTTCGTTGAGTTCGAAATTCGTGAAAATCGGATCAAAACTCTCGGACAAAATGGCCACCCCACCCCTCGTACGCAAATAGTGTAAACATCTGGTATATCAAGGTTGTGGACCCTCAAGAGGTCACAATTTTGATCCGATTTTGATGGAACTTGAAATGCGTGTTTATAACCCACAGATCTTGGTTCCTTTCAATATTTGCGCATATCGGATCGTAACTTACTGAAACATGGCCCTTGATTGTACAAAATTTAGAGGTCACAATTTTTATCCGATTTAAAAAGAAACATGTGAATATATCACCGTTACACACTAAGATCTTGGTTCCTTTTGATAATTGTGCATATCTGAACGTAACTTCCTTGATTATGGCCCCTGATTGTTCAAAAAATAGCATTTTTAGCTTGTGGATTCCCTAGAGGTCACAATTTTTTTTCCGATTTTAAAAACCGTTTAAATATATCACCATTCCACCATAATGAAGGTTGAATTCGAATTTCGGGAAAATTGAAATGAAACTGCCCAACAAATAAAATGGCCGCTCTTTGTACGCAAATTGTGTAAAAGTATGTAATACGAAGGTTGTGAACCCTCTAGAGGTCACAATTTTTATCCGATTTTGATGAAACTTAAAATGTTCCTTTCGATATTCGCGCATATCGGACCATATCTTCCTGGATTATGGCCCCTGATTGTACAAAAAAATCACATTATTTTTTTTAGCTCGTTCTGTGTCCAACTCTTGCAAAATATGGGCGTACCTTGCATAACAACCGCTCGTAAGTAGATTAGAACGGTCTGGTCATTTAATAATTTAATTTAGAAATAGGGAAGCGAGGCTAAGCCTCGAATAAACCAGTACCGTGGTTACGACAATAAACAATCAATGCACACCTCTTGTCAAAACTACAAACAGTGATAACTTGGCTCAGAATAAAGTAATTTGAATGAAATTTTCAATATATTCATTTTGCATTATTTTGGAACTATTATCGCAACAACGACCAGCTCTTTCAATCTGATTAAAATAAAACACAGATCCTATTTCGTTTCGTTTTTTATAGTTCAAAATTTCGTTTTACTTGTCTTCACAACACTAGGACCTGGAAGACTTGTTATATAACAGACGTTCTAGTTGATGTTAGGAATTAGTCAATGACACGGTCTGTTACGGCGAGTTCTTGGCGTGCTTTGCATGGAACTGTGGGTAAACCTCTAGAAACGTCAACGCTGGTTGATTGATCAATGTTTGACGCCATCGGGTCAAGAGCCGCTCGTATGACCCCTGACGCGACCTCCCAGTACACCTGGTCAGATCTTCATGTAGTGTAGGCCATCGAAAGTAAAAAAAACAAAACGAAATATAGATCTGTATTTGAATCAGATTGGCTCTTTATCTAAAACTTACATAATGTGTCTTTAAACAGGTGGAAAGACTGTGAAATGGTCCACGAAAAAACAAAACAAAACAAACGTACATGCTTCAATAGCCTCAGTCATTTGTCAATGAAGATCTATCAGCCACGTAGACAAATAAGGCTGAGAGTGCGCTGGGTCAGGGGCGGATTGGGTAGCTCTTGGCTCTCGGATCAACTATAGTTTCCTTGGGGCCTCACTCCATCGCCGTGAAGAATACGTTACATTACGAGAAAACAAAACCAGATTGATTCACCTTGACCACATCCGGCGGTCCTGCGCCCGGCACTTTATCCTTGTAACAGCTACAATTTATTTGCATTATAATACAAATCTGCACAATACTTTTTGTACCTTCTAACACGCAAATACATAATTTACAATCGTATGGCGAACACCTTTTAGTTGGGATCGGCATAAATGTTCTTATCATACGAAAAGCACCTTACCTTGTTCTATTGGTGATCGGATACCACCACTATTCATCAATACTATTGATACATTATTCCACGTACCATTCGCCCGCTCATTTAAATTATATCTTAATATGCCATCAGTTATAGCATTACCTATAAGATATTTATATACAGTGAAACAAATATACAATCAGTTGTAGCATTACGTAGTGTGTGTGTAGGCAATATCTATAAAGATTACAGAAAAATTGTCCACCTTGTGCCCTTTAGCCTTCCATTAATTGGACTGCCTGTTTAATGGGCAATTATGTAAATTAAATAATTAGAGATCATTCACACATTGGCGTGCACGTAAAAGATCCCTTGGCAGTTGGAATTCGATATAAGAGTAAGCCGTAGCGCCACTGCCCGGGCAAAATTTCCCTCATAGCACACTGTATTGCGTATGCTCGTCTTCATTAGCCCAGATAGGAGCAGAACAGTAGGACGTTAAACCCCATTTCATTTCATTTCAGAGATCATTCAAATTGCTCTATATTAGAAAAGATGTATAGTATACAGTTAATGTCATTCCATATCGATTTGGGTTATTATATGGGACATTTCAAATAATTTGTTCGCGCCTATTTCATTCCATATCGATTTGGGTTATTATGAGGAACATTTCAAATAATTTGTTCGTGCCTATTTCATTCCACACAATATCTAATTGACGGTAAAAGGTTAGTATCTGTATAACCCTTATTTGACCTCTAAATGAAATAACCTACAAACCCAAGCTAACGATGTTCATGTGGTCGACTTTTGTTTTATAGATAAACTATAGGCGGGTGACGGCGACTCATTGAGTAAGGCACTGGCTACCTAACCAGCAGATCCGTGGTTCGCCCCGGTGTTGGCCGAGAAAGTTAACCGGGATTTTCCAGTGCGATTTCCTGTTGTCAGGGCTTATGAATTGATATTTTGATCCTTTTTCGGGTTGTTTCTGGTGCTTTTGGATTCCTGGGAGTTGTAATCAGAAAACTGTCCATTTCCATTATTTTACATTTTCTACCCTGCTCCGCGGCATGGTTTGAAAATAAAGTATTTTTGCACGAAATTTGCGACACAACTTTGAAACCGCCAGTAACTCATTGATTAGGCTGGATACCAAACTCGTGAACCTGACCGGACCCCTTCCCTTCCACTGAATTCCGTCACATCATGCTGCATCATTGATCGAGCTCTGGACGACATGCGAGTAAACTGTGGCCAATGACCAATGTGAGAAAGTGCTGATTTCATTGACTGTTTATCAATGTTTTTTATCTAATTTTTCCTGTAGTCCTAGCAGTGGACACCTTGATGTAATAAATATCTTATCTTATCTTATCTTACCTAGATTACATTCGTCTTTACGACAAACTTTAGAATCTCCTTGTAATAAAACCCTTGTTTCACCAACAACCGATTTTTTAAAATGTTGAATCTCTTGTTTCCATGGCCGCATTTCAACAAGAGTGGCATTATCTGTCAAGAAACAATAGAAAAATTAACAACAAAACACATACTTATGGAAAACAGCTACTAGTGTATTTAAGGCGACGTTTCGTAGAATATTCTCTCAACGTTATCAAGTTAATACAGTAAAACAGGTATGAGGCAAATACAACATTTCCAGAAATTTGCTGGACTTAAACTTCAGTCTGTTTACAATCATTCCCCAAAGTTTCAATTTTCTTGGTCGCTTTGCATAAAAGCCATGCTCTTTCCAAAATATGCTCCAAATGGCCTCCGTGGCGTTCGGGGGCAAACTTGCTTATGTCGCACAAAATTGTCAATTACTCAACACATTCCTCTTTGGGGATTTACCAGATTATCTCAAGGATAATGTGTACCAGAACAACCCTCTAAAGATTGGTGAAAATTGACAATTTTGCGCGACGTGTGCAAAGTTTGCCTCCAACGCCACAGAAGATGACTTTTATGCAAAGCGATCAAGAAAACTGAAACTTTAGGGAATGAACGTACACAGACTGAAGTTTAAGTCCAGTAACAAGAATTTTTTTATGGGTTCTGTTTTTTTTGGAGGGTCACCCTGTAGTTTAATATTCTTGGTTTTGGCTGGTTACCCCAACATAAGTTAGAATAAAAGTAATTTGTAACGGTTACCTTTTGGTATGGAGGAGTTTAAAAGAATAGGGTTTCCCATCCATGTATTCACGTTTCCATCATCATCAAATTCTACATGAAGAAATCCCAAATATTTTCCATAAGCATAATCTTGTACACATACAGCCTTTTTACCACTGGTTTTAGTTACGACAAATGGGTAATCCCCATCTTTTTTCTCATTTGACGGTTCTTCACCTAAAAAAACAAAAATAGAGGCTTAATATGAAAGCAGCGGTTTGTCCGATATATCGGGCAAGAATTGAGAAATGTGCCCCCCTTCCCGCCACCACTGCCAAACAATAAAATAAAAATCATTTAGAATCAGAAGGTCCGAGACAATATTTTTGCTCATTTAGGTGCATACATGTATAGGAGAAGAGTCGAGTGAGAACAAAATTGCGGCAATGCTTCGCAAAACAGTTACAGTATGCATTGATTGGGGGGGGGGGGCGTCACTGAAGCTTTTGCCTTGGGGCCCTGCCCCCCTCCACCCCGTTCTGGACACGCGCCTGATCTTACGCCTGGGATTATCAGTCAGTGGGGAATTTTGGGAAATATGACGTACACTCGCAATAGATAAAAGTCTATTCTGAGCTGCATTATCATAAAGTCTAACTGACCTGTATGAACGATATTAATTGATGACCTATATTTTCCATAAATACTGTTTTAAAGGGTCAAATTTTACATGTTTGACACTGTAACCACAATGGAGGTTTACCTGAATACAAGAAAGTATTAGTATGTCCACCAACAACAATATCAATATCTTCTACTTCCTCCGCTATACGTTTATCTTTTGTAAAACCCGCATGTCCTAAAGCTATAAATTTATTCACAGTTGGGTGACTTCCTTTAATAGTCGCCACTTCATTTCTCACAGACTCAACTTCATCGTTAAATATCAATTTTCCTGAGAAGAAAAGGCATATGTATAGGTATAAAATATTTGGGTTACAATTCTAATTTTGAAAAACACTATTCCTTTCACTTATGTAAAAGATTAAAGTAGTCATTTGAGAAATAAATAGCTAATGGAATATACTTAATTGTTCGTATTAAATTCCTATACAGTATTTCGAAACTTATAAGGATTACATTATAAGCTTGACGGAACGGGTTACTTATTTCAGTTATTAATCACCTTCAGACAAGCGTGGATTTAAGCCCCCCCCCCCACCATGAGACCAAGTGAGCGCCCCCGTGAGACAAAGTCCCCTCAGGCCCAGTCCAAAAAAATTAAAAGCTCAGTTGCATATCTGAATTGCCTAGTGTTATAGCCACTGCCCCTAAGGTTCACATAAATTTAATAACAAAATCAATAACAATCAACTTAAATAAAACTGCTTTCCGGCGGGATAACGACTAGCGAACAACTATATAGGCAATACGATCTATGTTCTACCGGAACGCTTAATATTATAGCCAGTATTTTGTTAACATTCATTGTGGGGTGGGATTGTGGGTGGCGCCGTAGATTTGGGACCCCCACCCCCACCCTATTCACAGCTTCTAGATCCGATACTGCCTTCAGATCATCAATTAATTTAAAGATGAACATAAAACTGGGAAATAAGATGGACATAAGGAGAGACAGGAAGAAGGAGGCGGGTGGTGTTTAAAGGAACAAGGGATTGTAAAATCCAAAGAAAGAAGAAACTTAGTCAAATAAAACATGGTAACAAGAAATAAATCATTACTAGATGACGTGCCATAACCTAGACTATCAAACATTTTCCAACATAATTTATAAAGGAAACATTCTACTACTGGTCGACTGGCTGGCGAAACTTTTGTGCGAACAAATGAAAGCATGCACTACAAATTATTGCCGTAAATATCGCGCATTATTGAAACTGTTCGTGAATTGCATTAAAGCGAGAATTTCAAATTTTCTAAGAATGTCAAAACATAATTATTTCTATGTCTTTAGCTCAATAGGTTATCAAATCACTATTATACGATCATGGGCATTATTTCCCACCCTTAAAAATCTATGACACAGGAAATAACAACACAATTACCTCCCCTGTTTTGCTATTGAAAACATGGGGCAGCCATTTTCCAACGTTGGAATTTGAAGTTAAAAATGATATTTTTGCCAATTTCTCAGCTGGCAATAGCGAATTATAGGATTAATAGGATTATTCTTTAACAAGGTAGGACTGTTTATGGATACCATCTATTTTAAAGTAGCTAAGTCTCTAACTCAATATAATCCAAAATCTTCAACATTGAAAACACAAATTATTTGTCAATTTAAATCAACAATGATGCTGTGATCTTACCGGAAAAAGATGGGCTTCTGATATCCAATATTTAAGACAAAATAAACATTTTACCATGGGTACACGAATCGTGTACCATAATGCGTTTCAGCCCCAATTCTAGCAAGAGACTTGAGGAACGAGGCTAGACATATTGCACCAAACCAAACGGCGTATGTAAACTGGAATAACCAGGCGCTAGAAATTTGCATTCGATTGAGACTACTGGCTTATTTCGCGGAACATAACTGATTTGAAATTAGAGTAAAAACGGAAACCATTGAATGTATATCAGTTTATATACATTCATATTACAGTATTATATGAGTTGCGACCCACTTATGTCAATTTCTAGGTCCCAAATGTTAGCGATTAAGCTCCTTTAAGGCTTTATTTTAATACATTTTAAAAATATAACTTAAAAATTTGCAATTGCAACTTTAAAGTATAGTAAGGCTTAACTTCTCTCAGTGTAATGGGTATGTCACCATATTTAACGGGATTCAAACCCCAAGGACTAGATAGAAGAAAAGGCGAGTAGTGTGGCAACTTTAATCCATGTCTCGAGAAGATGGAGGGTGTCTATAGCTTTATGTGTAATTGCGGGGTAGGGGGTGTATCCTATACCTTAATTTTTAAACTGATATTTTTTGGGGGAAAAGATGACAATTGTAAAGATCAGTGGATACCTCAAGTTCAAGATAAACGAAAGCATCGCTAACGCTGCAATATACGTCCACTTTCCAGCTTTGATTGATATGGTACTTTTTAAAATGAGGGGAATGAAATATGAAATGCCTGTAATATGATCAGAGGCAAAGAAGGCTAGGCGTTGGGTTTGTTTTGCCAAATTTACAGACAAAATACTAATAAAAAAGCGGGTGTGACACTTCCCCAGGTAGTTGCTGTATTTACGGTATAAGGAATAAATATGCAAAGTTCCAAGATGATCCATTCAGAATTGCAGCATGTAGACGATAAATATAAAAAATGGGCGTGGCTCTGCCCGTAGGGGGGTTGGATATGGAACCAATATAAATAGGTATCACCCTGTTATTGAAATGACAACATCAATAGCTGCCGTCCTTAGGGTATAAGGAATAAGTATACCAAGTTCCAAGATAATCCATTCAGAATTGTAGCCTTTGGGCGATAAAGGCAAAGATTGGACGTGGCTCTGTCCCGGGGGGGGGGGGCATTCACCAAAATCAATAGTTGATGCCCTTAGGCTATAAGGAATACATATTCCAAGTACCAAGTTGATCCATTCAGAATTCCGACCAGTAAACGATAAACACAAAAATTGGGCAAGGCTCTGCCCCTGCGGGTCCGGACATGTAGTTATCGTCCTTAGGCTATAAGGAATACATATCCCAAGTTCAAAGACAATTCATTAAGAATCGTGGCCTGTAAGCAACTGCCAGAAACACAAAGACAATGGGCCCCTCAGGGTTTGGCAATCACCAAAAAACACAGGGGGAATCCTTAGGGTATAAGGAATAGGTATGCAAAGTTTCAAAGGGATCTGTTAAGAATTGCGGCCTGTAGGTGACACAAAAGGCAACCAAACATTGGCCGTGGTTCTGTCCCAGGGGGTCGGGCATGCACCAAAAATAATAGAGGTCAGCCTTAGGGCATAAGGAATAAGTATAAAAAAGTTTTCAAGATGATCGATTAAGCATTGCAGGCTGTAAGTAACATACAGATACACAAAAAGAAAATGGCGTGGCTCTGTCCCTGGGGGCTGGGCATTTACCACAAACAATAGTGATGTTCCTTAGGATAGAAGGAGTAAGTATGCAAAGTTTCAAGGTGATACGTTAAAAAATCCGTAGATGACAAACAAATAAATACAAGAAATGGGCGTGGCTCTGCCAATGGGGGTTGGGCATGCACCAAAAACAATAGGGACCATCCTTAGGGTATAAGGTATTCATATGAAATTTTTTCAAGACGATCGATTAAGAATTGTCACCTGTAGGTGACACACAGACACACAAATAGAAAATGGGTGTGGCTGTGCCACTGGGGGTTGGGCATGCACCCGAAACGATAATGGTGTTCCTTAGGGTACAAAGAATAAGTATGCAAAGTTTCGAGATGATACGTTAAGAAATGCGGCCTTTAAACGACAAACAAACAAATACAAGAAATGGGCGTGGTTCTACCCCCGGGGATCGGGCATGTACCAAAACAATAAGGATCATCCTTAGCGTATAAGGAATAAGTATGTAAAGATTCAAGATGATCACTTAAGAATAGTGGCCTGTAGGCGACACACAGACACACAAAAAGAAAAAGGGCGTGGCTCTGCCCCTGGGGGTTGGGTATGCGCCCCAAACGATAGGGATGTTCCTTAGGGTACGTTAAGAAATGCGGTCTGTAGACGACAAACAAACAAATACAAAAAATGGGGGTGGCTCTGTCCCTGGGGGTCTGACATGCACCAAAAACAATAGGGACCATCCTTAGGGTATAAGGAATAAGTATACAAAGTTTGAAGAAAATTGAGTAAGAATTGCGCACTGTAGGCGACCCACAGACACACACACATACCCCCCCCCCCCACACACACACCCACAGACAGGGGCGACGGCATAATACGTCCACATTCATACGCATAAAAATGTATAAATAAAATGGAGTGGTGTTTGCCGTCCTACTGTTCTGCTCCGATTGGGTTAAAGGCTCAATACCACTCTTGTTGTAACTGAATAATATGTCCCAATCTTTATTCTGGTCAACAAATCGACTATTTTAGAATATTTCAATTAATTGATGATACAAATTTCATCTTAACACACCTTATTTAAAATTTTTGAAAAATTCAACATAATGGTTTGAAACGTCTAACGTAAACCTTTTCAAATGAAACTTCGATTTAAAAATATTTTCGAACCCACTGGACAAGTAAAATAGGGTGTAATGGATAATTTACACAACAGTTAGGACACTTAAACATCTAGTACTTAGATAGAGATATTATTTATTTTCTGGAGCTTTCAAGCCAGCAAGAGTGTTACTGTCCCTTTAATGAAGACGGAAATAATGTATACGTATTTGAGTCTATTTACCTGTACTAGAGATACTGGGTGTATCTGTTGTTGTATAACCTATAACAGCTATCTTCTCACCCGCAACAGTTAATATCACACTCTTGTTAAACTTATTCTGCATTGTTGGTTCTTGAGAAGCATCTATGTTAGCACTCAGCACAGGGAAATTGACTTTTTCCAGGAAGGGAGCCACCAGACCCGATACTGCATTGTCAAACTCATGATTACCTATTGCCTTAAAGAAAAGTTCAATATTATTAATTAACCTTTCGGCGAGTTTATGGGTATGGTGGTACTGGGTAAACCGTGTCAAAATTCTCAAAGTCTCCGTAGTTCCGGAAACCCCCAAACTCGGTCTTACCTTTCTCCCCCCCCCCACCCTCAAAATAGCCACAATAAGGTCAGGGAAATGAAATGAAATGGGGTTTAACGTCCTACTGTTCTGCTCCGGTTGGGATAATGAAGACGGGCATACGCCATACATGTAGTGTGCTGTGAGGGAAATTTTGCCCGGACAGCGGCACCACTGCCTACTCTTATATCGAATTCCAACTGCCAAGGGATCTTTTACGCGCACGCCAATGTGTACACAGGACCTTGGTTTTTCGCCCCATTCGAACGACTAGACAGCTGTCCTTGTCAGACACTATGTCCTGCGCCAATGACAAGGGGAAATCAAGTCGGAAAATCCAGATGAACTTTCTCGGCAATAAGGTCTGGAAAAAAATAAGCTAAAACACAATAATTTTAGCGCCGTAATGCATTGGGTAACAGTTCAAATGCGTAGAATGAAAGTTTATTTAATTGACTATTGGTAATAAATAAAATGCAATTAGATATCTGAGTAATACTCGGCCTATCATGGCGGGGAAAACAGGCTCCGTCTACCGCTGATCACATGATAAAGAATTGATATTATATCTCAGTTTATGAAAACACCCTGGTAAATATTTGCTTATAGCCGTCTTCATTATATAATCAGTATTTTCAAAAAATGGACTTTGAATATTATTCTTTTGATGATTCATGTAGTACATGTACAAGTACATAGATTAAATACCATTATACTATCGTCAAACATAGCAAGTGCGGATACAGAGGGGGCGGGGAGGGGAATATAAAATGTATGTATCATAAAGCTTCAACATGTTTGGACACGATAAATGCTATTTTCGTACCCTGGAGTTATAAATGGGTATCAGGTTCAAAATGCAATCTATAAAAACGTAGAATATATCAAAGGTAAAAGAGGCAACTCTTATCCGAAAGGAGCACTTTCGTGGTGGAAACTCATAACTTTATGCAGTTAACCCTTAAAGCGTCCAACTTTGTCGGCCAAATAAAGTGCCTGAAATCCTATGATATTTTGGTCTGAAGCTGCTGTGCATTATGCGACATCGATCATTATTTGTGTCATAAATTTTTCGGGAATCGAGATCTATAAATTGACAAATGGATAAAACATATCAATGTAATAAACAGTGTCCAGTGCTACTCTATAGAGTAGTCACTATATATATATGCTCTAAGCGTGACATGTTTTTCGGGCATCATCATTAAATTTGTTTCATCAGTGAAATTTCTGGATGCATGTCAACGCAACGCAACAGTCTGATCGATTGATTGGTTGATTGTTTTTCAGATGGGCTACATTGGACCACTTTTAGGTTGCTGTATTCACAGGCTCAAATTGCAGGAAAACGCGTTGGGGGGGGGGGGGCGTCCTAATTTCATAAATGTCCTTGGGGATATATCCCCACCACCACCCTCTCACATACAGGTCGAACTGGTGATCGACACAATATATTTTCTCCGTTTTGAATTATCTACCCCATACTTCCGGAATACGCGTTTCGGGTATAATATACATATATACCAAGAAGAAATAGAAGTTGACTTACCATGGCATCGTATTCAAGATAATTCATGAAATACGAGGTAACATTTCCGCCAAAGTGGTAAAACCATGTAGTTCCCTGATACTGATCTCCACCATCAAGGACCAGTGTATTTGGATATCGAGATTTCAAGTCTTTTATTTTACTTATAATGCGAGGATATCCACCGAAACAATCGTCTTTGTTCAGATCTTTTTCTGTACATGGTCCACTGTATTTATTAGTCTCTTCAAAACGAGCATGAACATCATTGGTATGAAGGATAGTTAGATTAAAAGCAGAGATTACAGGAACCACTAATAACAATATCAACAAGTCCATGTTACTTGGATTCATCTGTAAATAATAAAAAAAAACCCACAGTGGTTGCAAGGAAACAAAATATACGGTCGCGAGCCCACAGAGGTTGTCACATATTTATTCTTTTGTAGGTATGGGGGATACTAACAGTTGTTATACAAAGGGAGTCACGGTTGCTAAGTGGGCAAGGTGCTGGCTCGCTAGTCTGGAGGTCGCAGGTTCGATCCCGGTGTTGACCAAGAAAGTTCATCGGGATTTTCCGGCGTGCTTTCCCCTTGTCAGTGGTGCAGGACGGAGGGCCTGTCAATGACAGTCGTCTAGTCGTTCGGATGGACGAAAAACCGAGGCCCTGTGTACACATTGGCGTGCACGTAAGAGATCCCTTGGCAGTTGGAATTCGATATAGGAGTAGGCTGTAGCGCCACTGTCCGCGCAAAATTGGCCTCATAGGACACTGTATGGCGTATGCTCGTCTTCAGTAGGACGGTAAACCTCATTTCATTTCAGATAACACTTCACATCTTACTTTAGACCCCGATAACGTGTTAATTTCTCGGGGATAGAGGCAGTGTCCTATTGGAGCCCATGTTAGGAAAACTTCCATAGCTGAGATTAGGGAAGCACTTTATTTTTTACCTCTAAATATAACACTGACTCACTGTTTTGACCATAACCAAATATGTAACATTATATTCACTTTTAATTATTGAAGTGAAGTGAATCCAACACTAGTATCACTCAAGTGTTTCCCCAATCTCAGCTCATGGAAGTTTTCCTTTTTTTCAACAAGGGCTCCAATGGCAGGGGCGGATCCAGGATTTTCATAAAGTGGGGGGGGGGGGCAAACTGACGGGCAATCAACCAACCGGCTTGTTTCGGAGTAAATTACGACGGGGATCACTACCTTTTTAAAATATTTTGTTCTCCTTTCCCGCAAATTGTTCGCCACCGCAAAATAATTGGAGGGGGGGGGGCGCCCGCACCTGGATGGGACGCTACCTCTATCCCCTTGGGTTTAACATTTTATCGAGTTCAAAAGTGAGATGTAAAGTGTTATCTAATTTTCATAAAATGTTATTATTTTTTCGTCTTATGTCATTATTCAATATTAAAAGTCCTTCAATATTTACACAAAACACACAAAATCTGATATTTGTTGGTGTCAATTCTTAGAAATAAGCCAAGAAATTATCGAAGCAGGATAAGCGGAAGCCATGTTTGAATTTGTTGCGGGTAACACTAGTGTTGTCTGGAGACCACCTTGTAATTTTATCCACAGTTGAATGAAAATAAAGCTGTAATTTATCTCCGTTTTTGGCTTAACACTTTATTTGCGGAGTGGATATTCGCCATTCGAATGGCGAATCCTAGAACGATAAGGATGGTTATTCGCCATTCGTTTTATATAATAAACTTAACATTCTTGTAAATTGTTTGTGCTTTTATTCAAAATGCAGACCCGGAACTGTTTATTTCCAATCCATATATTTGAATAAAAATATTTTGTCTTATTTCACACCCTTTGTAGACAGGTCATAAATTCTGGTACTTTTTCGGGTAGTCACCGCTAGACTATAGATAGACCTCCATAGTGGCACTGCGTTAAACAGAGTTTGTTGTAGCAGTTATTTTCGCATTTTTACTACAACGAAAATGTTGTGTGTTCACTTTGTAGGACGAAGTTAAACTATTTTAAGTGCTTGGTAGCATTACCACTCGACCAGATATCGTGATACGACAGAGAATTTCGATTGTAAGAAAAGAATGGCAAATAATGAAAATGAATGGCAAATAACGAAAATGAAAGGCAAATAACGAAAACGAATGGCGAATACCTCTTTGCCATCCGAATGGCGAAATTCCTCTGTCAATATTTGAGGTCAAAAGTTAGGAAAATAGTTATACTAGCGTTGCATTACGTCATGACTATTTACTCCAACACTACATTTGACCTCACCCAATATACAAAGTGTTAAATAGAAGTACAAAAATATATGGACGGGCACAAATTCAGAGCACTCACATACTGTATGAGCTTGAGAGAATACCCTTCGAAACTTCGGCCAAATATCAGAAGCTGATTGCATCATTAAATGTTATAGTTTATTAGTCTATCGAGTTACATATGCCTCTAAGTGATTGTTTTCATTTCTAATAAACCTATAACGGTATAACTCTTTGATCTTTGGGGTATATTCTATGGGGACATCTCACTGTGCCCCCTGCTATTGTTCTCATGGGGGGATTAATCAAGCAAGGGGATTATCGAATACAATGGTGTTAAAAGTATAGTCTGTTTTTTTAAACTACTAGGTTTAAACTAATTAACAAATTTATTCACAATAAATTTAATAAAAGTAACAACAAATACATGTATCAACATAAATCATAACCCTACTAAATGTGATATGGCGTCAGTATATTCAATTGCACTTTTTACTCCATTTAACAGTTTGATTTTTAGATCATTAATAGATTCTTCTACTCTTTTATATTTTCGTCTTTTAGGGGGCAATCGTCCCCCGTTATCCAATTGAACTATTGTATTTTCAGTAAAAGTCTGCTGGTGCTATTGGGTTTCGTATATTTTACTCTGTACTTATACCCCAAATTAACTAAATTTTGACCTCCTTGAGAGTTAGGAATAAACCCTATGCGAACTTGAGCCATTTTAAAAGATATAATGTAATTGGGGGTGACAACTATCCTTATATAATGATAGTGAGTTTCTAATCATATATTTGATTGATTTATGAGTACTGTCTGAATGAAAGGTAGGTGAATAATATTTAGATACTCGTTAACCGATAACACGTGAACTTAACTTATATATTTTAATCATTAAAATAATTAAATTTTAACTAGGTGAACAGTACTAATAAGGATACAGTCTATAATCCTTTGTTTACTTAAATTTTCACACCACTACCCTATAACACCAGTTGATTGGGGGGCACAGTGAGATTAAACCATATTCTATGGGTTTCACCTCACTTTCCCCACATTTGATTGTTTTGATAAAGGATTAGGAGGTTAGCAGACCGTGGGTGTAGAACTATAGTCTGTTTTAATTAATTAGTATCACTGGTGTAAACTTCTCACTCTAATTAATGTTACTGGTAACACTTCCCACTATCAGTAAACTAAAGAAGCTTGGTCCGGGCCATCCAAATATATACAAGTTCCTAGACTCGATTAAGACTGAACAGGAAGATGTAGAACTAACCATCAGACAAATAGAATCTGGGGGCAGACTTGCTCCCAAAAGAAGAAAGTACCGTCGCCTTGATGAGAGAATCGTAGAAGAGAAGAATTTATTAATAACTGGTGACAAGACGCCCATTGAATACCTTAACACTGTTATGAATTTTGTTGGACAGTGAATTGTCATGTTTATCAAACTGTTTATAACTATTTATATCATAAAAATGTATTTATTTATTTATCTGTACTTATTATATATCAAACTGTTTATAAATATCTATACTACGAAAATGTATTTATTTATTTACTATGTTGAAGTGTTACAAACTTGTTACAGACTATACTTTAAATCCCCTTAAACCCTCTTTGTTGGTTAATTAGTCATGGCTGGGTGGACCTAGACTCTAAACAATAGATGTAGGGAAAGTGAGGTGTCCCCATTCTATGCCCGGAATAACTTGCGATCTGAAAGTCGGGGGCGGCTTTGAATATATACAGGGGAATTTGGGGTTATTCTTTTGAAAGTTTTTCTTTAAACCCGTAACAGGCTATTCTTCCAGGGGTTTTTTTCATAAGAAAACATGATATAAGTTTTTTTCTCTCACTTTACGTACATGTAAACACAGACGGTTTATAAGCAAGATAACGTCCCCGACTTCGGTTATGCTGGGGAAGAAAGACTTGAGAAAAAAACACTCGAAAGAAAAATGTCGACCTGCCGGCCTCGGTTTTTTTTTCTCGGGTTATTTTCTGCTTTATCCTACACAGTTAAACTGAAGTTTGTATACCCGCAGACTTTCGCTTGGAATGAAAATGTACTCGTTCAAAGCATGTCCGATATTGACCAACATGATCCAGCACGATATTTTAAACTATGTTCAAATACATCCCTTTCCCTTGCAGTCTGTTCACAAAACTTGATTAAGGACAAAAAGATAACTGTAGAATTTACTACAGAAAACACTATAAAAAAAACTATAGAATACATTATTTTTTCCTTTAGAAATTTTAGCATAAATCTGTTGGAAAATTTATGGGATTTGCACTACAGAAACTGCAGAATATTTGGGGCCATTATTTCCTACAGGCCCCCCAAATTCTGTAAAATACTATAGAATTTCATCCTTTAGAAATTGGAATAGCCCCCCATCGCCCAACCCTCTAGAATGTTCTATAGAAAATTACACTGGTAATCTATGACCTTTTGCTAAGGGTATACTTCGACTGACAGGCGAGTAATGCCATCGTTAAACAGATAACGGAGCACAACACCCCCATTAAATTTAACGGCAACATACTTTCTCTCCGTTAAAGATAACGATCCATTAACTCCATGTTAACGTGTCGTTAAAAAAGACGTGTAGCAGATTCTCTATTTAACGTCAACTCGACACAAACCAGGCCATTCCAGGAGTACGATAGTTCAACTCTATTTCAATACTTCGCTGTATTGCTGCGCGTATGGGTCTTGACACTGGGTAGGGGTGGGGGGGGGGGGCCGGAGGAACAGGGGAAAACACACCAGTTGGACAGGCGATCCTACTCCTTGTCACATACAAGCGGGGAACATAAGCCACACTACTGACTTAATTACAGAGAATATGTGCGTTAAACCGTTCAGCCATCTACCCCACCCACTCATTTTAAAACTTAAGTATTTGACAATTGTCACTGTACATTAAACGAAATCCTGTAGACCCAGTAGTTTTACGTTTCACGTTTCGGTCAGGGGGATCACGTGGCTAAGTGGGTAAGACGCTGCCTCGCTAGCCTGGAGGTCGGTTGTTCGATCCCTGCATTGGCCGAGAAAGTTCATTCAGATTTTCAGGCGT